CCCCCCCCTTCCGCACGACCCACATGACCCACATGACCCACATGATCTCTTCCTTGTTTCCCTACCCCCGAAAACCCGCCCCCTCCAAAAACAAAAACAAAAACAAAAACAAAGTGTAAATCACACATACACTGTCGTCTGCTCAAGGCCTCTCCCAGCCCCTCCCAACCACTATCAACAGATTCTCGTCTCATTTAGGCCTCTTCCACCCTCCCACCCCCACTCTCAAGTCCTTCACCTATCCTCGTGTCCCAAAGGCCCCTTTCACCCAACGTCCCCGCTCCTCTCCTCACAGATCCTCGTCTCCATAAGGCCACTCACCCCTCAACACTCCCCCCTTACCATTTCCCCCCTCACCCTTCGAGAAGATCTTCCCCCTTCCACCGCCTATAAAACCAGAGGCTGAGCGCTCCAGCACGAAATCTCAGTACTCACGACCGTGCCACCGCCTCACACCGCCACGTTTTGTTTCTCGAACCCCAAGTCTCTGTCGTGCTAATTTATAGAGATTTTCCAGTTTTTCCTTCTGATTGAGCTTGTACATTGTCATTAGCTAGATTTTTTCCCCCACCGAGTTCGTCTTCTCAATTAAAAGTCGTGTCGTGCGCGTTCAGCTTTGTACCCAACTGTTTACAATTCCACGGACAAATCTTTTATCGTGTTTGCTATTATTTGTAAAGTTGAATCACAGTAGGCGCAAAGAGCTTATCTTTGGTTTTTAAGAAAGGCCAAGTTGTACATTAAATCTACTTCGTGCCTTTCTCATCGGTATATCGCTTGGTTTCATTATGGCTTCAACAGAGGTAATGAACAATAATTAGTTCTCACATATTTTAAATCTCTGTGCCAATTTGAGTGCCATAAATCTCCTTCAGTTCTTTTTTTTTTTTATTGGCTTCATAATGTACCTCTATTAAATTTTGTGTGTGCCTTTTGAATCCCTCTAAGATCCTCCCCCTCCCTACCTATATAAACATGACATGATAGATAAGATAGATTATACAGGAAACGTACTATTCTATTTCCAGTTTGACGTTACGGCACTGAATGTCTCATAGTCGTAAGTGTGACCCAAGGTCTCTCAACGGCTGTATCTCTTTAATACTTTTTGGGATATATTTTTGTTGATGGGAACGTTATTTTCTGTCTCTGTATACCTAAACATATGCGGATGGCTGGAGGGCGTCACTTGTAAGTTCTATTTCTTTTCAGTTGTTTCTGTCTTTCTGTACTGCTTCTTCCCTGCAGTATATGCGCATTATTGTGTGGTGCTTATCATTACTCAACTCAAACATTGTGGGTGGTTGGCGGGTGCTCTGGTGTGGTTTGCTCCTTCTTTCCTATCAAACACCTATCGTCCTTAATTCCCTTTTTCTTTTTTATGTTTGTTACTCTCTTGTAACATCTCTAATCTTCTGGCGCTCATATGACCTTATGAAGTTGCGAGCGCCGTAAAACCTCTACTAAAACTAAACTAAACTCAAACATTTCTCCCCCTTTCTGCTGATGTTCTTCAGATGGTCAATGTTCTACTTTTCTATTTCTTCTCAATGCTCCTGTTATCATAGCCGTAGTCGGATTGACTTTCATCTTGTTTCAGCTGTCCTCAGCTGATTCTTCAAACCCATGTATTATCGACGAACAATAACTGTATACTTCTTGTCCCCTCCGTTCCAGGTTGTTCCCAAAGACTACAAGACAATGGCCGCCTTGTCCAAAGCCATCTCCAAGAACGTGCTGTTTTCCCATCTGGACGACAATGAAAGGAGGTGAGTGGACGCCGTTATATAATTTATGCATCTGTCTTGGCGCCAACGTACAATGTCGTACAAAGGAATGCTCGTTCTCATATTATTTTTTAGTATTACGTGAAGCCCACGTGGGACGCTCAATGTTACAAACAATCAGGAAACAACAAATGCAGTTTTCGAGACACCTGAATAGACATAAGAGTCTTGAACATCTATAGCTCTCACAGGCAAAATTGAGGGTAAACGAGGCAGGGGTAAGCCCAGAACAACATACTTAGGGAACCTAAACAAATGGGTAACAGGGAGAGATCAGGGAAACGTAGCTTTTTTTGAGAGCATCCGAGCAAAGGAATGAATGGAGAAACATCATCGCCGATGTTTGTCGCAGATCTGGCACTGGATGATGATGATTACGTGGTACTAGAACGATTAATTCAGACTTTTTGTTTGGACGTTCTCTCAGCCCGGGTTGACCTTAACAGGAAGGGTCGAAGCCTGCCTCCAAAATGATCTAAATTGGGACGATAGAATGGAAAAACACCCACATTAAATCTTTGAACTCTTCACGTGCGTTTTGTCTTGCAAGCCATTCTACCTTTTCAGTGCAGCAAACACAGAACCAATCAGAAGAAAGACTGCAAATCTTTCATTGTATTTTCATCGTCGACTGTTGACTGTATCGAGTCGCAGATGAGACATTGATTACGGTGGCATTTTTGCAGTTGCGAGTGCCGTAAAACTTTTACCAAATTTACCAAACGGTCGTAAACGTGTTGTAATACGTGCACGTCATTATGGTGGGATATGAGCCTCTTGGTGTGTTACTTCCTCAAAAGCAAAGGAGGACTAAAGGGGCAAAGTTTGGAGGACGGGGAATAAATTAGACTGAATACGTATGTTGCTCTGGCCTCTGGCCGAAGCTGACATGGTCACTGTGTTTGACAGTTTGTTACTTCGCATGAAAAGTGGCTTTGAGATCAATTATTATTATTATGTAGAATAGAGAACATGTTTCTGTAGGCATGTGCAAAATTTCATATCTGCAAAAATATAATGTTTAAAAATATTGATTTTACATAACAGGGAAACTTGATAAATACTATTACTTACTGAGCTGTTATTGTGCTGACTTGCTGGAACTAAATTGCTTCCCCACCGTAGATTGTATTGGGTGTGACTTTTGTTCTTATGAAACTTAATGTTTTTCTTTAATGAAGATATTTTTATGCCCCCATTGACGCAATTCAGATAATTATAGAGGCGACCTCTTGATCCTACCTGTCAGGGCTAACCTGGGCTGAGAGGGATGCATGCCAGCAAAAAGACTGAGATACTCGATTTAAAAAAAATGTCCCCTCTCAGAATCTAACTCGGGCTTCTGCGTGCGACAGAAAGTGCCTAACTGCTACACCACAGACGCTGGTAAACTAGTGGTATGTAGAATTAAAGTTCTGATTAACGAAGCTGCCAGCCTAGACCCTGGGGGTGTCCCTTGTCGATGACTCAAATTATATAACTTGTCAAATCTTTGCGATGTCCCTCCAAGCATTACCAACAAGTTAAGATTTCTATGACTTTATTAAGCAGAAATCTTAGCAATACAACCGTATTTCCCAAAGTTAATGCTTTTATTTCTTAATACGTTCAGCATAATTTTGTATACTTCAAATAGTAGATAATCTTGCTTGACGCTTCACGCTTTATTTCGCTGTATATGCGTATTCCAGGAAATGCTTTCCTCACTTACATCTCCGGTTCGCCTACCTGCTCTTTTGTCATTGGAATGAGCCCTCAGTCTTAGAATTTAGCAGAATGACTTTATCTATGGCTCACCTTAGACACAGGGCAAGCGGGCTCGTCAGTGGCTCGACAGAGTAGTTGAGGGTGGTTGGAGGGTGGTTGGAGGGTGCTACTTGTAGGTCTTTCTCTTCTTTTCCCCTGTTTCTGTTTTTCTTTCGTGCTCTTTCCCAGCTTTCAATTACCATTTATCGAAGTGACGATGTGCATCTTTTCACTCAAACAGAAACTGTTTTAAAACCTGGTATGAATAAATGCATCGAACCATTCCCAAAAGAATAGAGTGGAAGCAGGGACATATGGACGGGTACAACGACTTCTGTCTTTGGTCATCGTATCTGCTGAATGAAAAGTTCTTACCCTCAACATTGTACTTTCAAATAAATGACCTTGTGAATGCTCTTCAAAACCCACGAAAAGATGAATAAAGAATCACCATAAGTACCAATGCGGCAAGAGTGTCATTTTCTGCAGAGCAGCAACGACGGTTTTGCCAATGCTCTGTTGGTTGTATGCTAAAACGCGAAAATTCTTGGTTCGTTTCGAATGGTTGTCCGTTGTCTTTCTTTTCAAGTGACTGTCCTTGCAACTATCCAAGCTCTTTACTTTCGAAATTACTCATTTTGTAGATAAGAACGGTATATATTTAGAAAATAGGGCGGGAAATAGATGGGAAAGAGGGAGAGAGATGGGGAAAAGAAAGAGCGTGAGAGATAGAGATCATTTCAAGACTTCAAGATGATTTTATATTTAAAGTCCTTTAGCCCATACATACACACATAAATGTGTGACTCGGCAAATACATAAATTGGCCCAGTACAACGGATAATTAAGATGAATTGTGGACAATACTGTTTGTGTGTGTGTGTGTGTGTGTGAGAGAGAGAGAGAGAGAGAGAGAGAGAGGGAGAGAGAGGGAG